ATGGTGGTTGGAATAAGGCATAAACGATTAGAATGAGAAAACTGATTAACACTTTCTGGCTCTAATGAAACATGTGGATCCATTTATAATTTACTCATTTTCAAAGGGAGCTGTTAAACTTCATCATTACCTTATTACTTTAGTTTATCATCTGGTATGGACGACATTGATTCTGAAACAGAAATGAAATGAGATCCACATTAAAAATATAACTTGTCTGGACATTGATTCTCAGGTCACCCAACTAACAAAATAACCATCCTGGCTGCTGATTCTAAAGTCACAGAACTAACAAAATAAGTCTTTCTGAATGCTGAACCTAAAAGAGAAGTGAAATATAATGAGTCAAGTTGAATCCCATACTGTTAAGCAACAACTCGCCCACCTAGGAAGGCCCTTACCCGAGAGTCAAGTTTTTTTTTTTTTTTTTTTTTTAATGATCAGAGGTCACTGAGTCAGTTTGCGTACACTTCAATTAATCCCTGAAGATCCTGAAACTACTTGCCGAGTAAAAGCTCTAATAACTAAAGGTATTATTAGCAATTGTGACGACTTAAACTCGGAAAACCATATTAGATGCTTCCGACCAGGTAAAAGTTTTAGTGGTTAGGTGTATAAGCAACCGTAGAGACTTGAACTCGAGAGACTATGTTAGATCTTCCTCTTGCTCTTTTAACATCAAGAGGACTCAAACATAAAAGATCATGTTAGATCTTCTTTTTACTCTTTTACTATCAAACCACCCAATAGTGATTTAGAGTCAAGATTCCCCAAGTCACCCAACCAAAAAAATGGGTCATTGTAAACGTCGATCTTAAAAGAGGAGTATATTGTAATGACTCAACTTGAGTCCCAGAGACCACAGTGCAAGGAATAACTTGGCATGTGGATTAATATTCACGCGAGCACGTGAGTTAATAACCCTGTGAGGCACCTCCCCTTACAAGCCAATTTTAAGGTGAGTTCTACCCATTTGTGGCCACAAAGTTTCATTTCTTCTGTTTTTTCCCTTAGGAAGATAAAATTGTATTTTACGGTACAAACCACTTGGCTTGTGGTAGGATGGCAATTGGCAAGACCTTAGGTTATCTAGGAATCTTGTGTTCGAGTCCCACCAAGTGATCATCTATCACATTTGTGACTTACCTGACTTATTGGACTTGTACAATGTTCAATGGATCCCGATAATTAGTTGAAGTGTGTATAAACTGGTTCAGACACCCTGGTCACTAATAAAGATAACACTATACCTAGAAAATTTGCATTTGAATGGGACTGAAAAAGCATTTGACTACCGATTAGTAGGAGGAAAGAATGGAAGGAATACAAGGTAATTTTGTAACCTAAAACTATGAACAAACTAATTTCTTCATTGGTCATGATCCTCAGCTTCAATTTCACCAACATTCTCAATTATGTTCTGAACACTTTGTTAAGGTGATTGGTATGCTGCTCTATATCATGCAAAACCATTTCCAGTTGCTCACTGCACTCTGCCAACTGTTGATTTGCACGATGAAGCTCTGCAGATAACTCCCGAATTTTCTTATCTTTTTCGTCCTACACAGAAAATTCATATTATAAACATGGGGTTTTCTTGATACCGTATGTATACAGCTTTGAAAGATGACTTAAAAAAATACAATATGAATGACTGCTTCATTTAACTATTCAGAAAAAGCAAAGGTATCCCAAGAAATTTCTTGAATGCTCCAACTGCATCAATAGTTACTGTTATTTTAAATCATTGGTTGCGAAAAACACATCACACTTGACAATCAAAACAAGATATCCTAATGACATGAGCTTGAAAAAAACAGCTGCAATTCCAGTGCCAAAGGCTCTTCAGTCAAATGTGTCTCCTCTTGCTAGTAAGGGAAAATAGTAGACATTCCCTACAGTTCAAGACATATTTTCCACCAAACCAGCGGAAAAGAAAAGCAACTCAAAGTAATCCCTATGATAAGATTGGTAAAAACATATACTTCCAGGGTAAACATTTCCATGTAAAAAAAGAGAAAATATTCATCATTTCTCTGCTTCAGAAACAATAACAGCCAGAGGTCTTTTACAATATTTACTACAGTTTTATCAAACAAAACCAGCTGATGTCAAAAGTTCTCGAAGAAAATAAGCACTAACCAAGCATGACACCATGATCATGTTCTTGCAATAATCAACAAAGTCAAAATCAAGTGTCTGATTAGAATATTTTAGGAACATCAAGTTAGGCAGACAAAAACTACAAGATCTCAACAAAACTTGCAGATCCGTCAGATTTTATTCACTTCCTAAAAGATAATTTGCAATCCATCAGACTTAATCTAATGCAGCATTACCATCTGTTCAAGCAGTTACAGAAAGTAGAGATTGTCATAGGTAATATGCACACAGAAAAAAGGGGGCGTAACACGTTATCTGATCATTTATGGCACCGGCAGCAGGCTTAAGACATTTATGCAGTACTTTATTCTTTTGGAGGCTTAAATACCAAGAAAGGACATTAAAGACTAGAAACAGAGAGATTGAAGAAAGCAGAATACAGACAGTGCAAAAGCGATGATGCTGTAGGACGAAGTATACAATGCAGAATTTGAACCTCACAGAAAGTTCAGCCAAGTCCAATAATAATGTTTAAACTGTTAATTACTTATTCATTCATTTACTGCACCTCAATCGATATGAGTTAATCACCGACAAACTTCCCTCAAGCCTTTCAGAGGTACCAACTGAATGGTACTAACTCATCATGGAGTAAATATTTATAAATTGCGGTGAAACAAAGACGCTGGATAATGCACAAATATATTTTAGTTTTCTCTTAAACAAAGAGAGAAATTAAACCTAGCAACCAGTGGCGGATCCAGAAATTTCTGTTAGGGTGAGCCAAAATAAAAACTAATTACACATTAATATTTTTGCCCATTAATATTTCTGTTAGGGTTGACCAAAATGTAGAAATTGTATATATTAATATATATATATTTTTTTTAAATTTGAGGGCTCAACTAGAGTAGCATCCGCCCTTGCTAGCAACTAACAGAAGATATTGATATAAAAAACATTGTTCCTCAAAACTTTTTTGTTTCCTATAAAATCATTAACTCATATATCTTCCATACAATAATGCTTATTAGCATTTGCTAACATCAAATACAGACGGTCAAAGAGCTAGTAAATTAGAACAAAATTTAAAGAATGATGCTACCAATTGACATAAATTATATGTACTAACATGTTTGGCCATCCAAAGACAACATGAGTAACTAACCAGTGGTTGGGCCTGAACTGTACACCGACTACCGTTGCCAGAAGGAATTCCCAAAGGATGACTATGCTCTGTTTCAAGTTTCATAACAACCCATTTCCCTGACTTCATCTTTCTCACCATAAGCATTGCCTAGTAACCTCCCTTGGCTTCCTTACCTCGAGTCTTTTAGTCTTCTTGTTATTTACACGAAACCCTTCTTTATTACAAAGAAACCTTCGACGGATAATTGACCCATCACGACTAGAACGATGACAATTACCAACCCAGATTATAAATCCCACATGCTTAGCATATGTATCATAGTACACCATAGCAGCCTCTTCAGATTCAAACTCCATTCCTACATACAGCTCCAAACTCACATTTCTTTCATTCACAATCAACTGTCTTCCATCATAAAACTCTTATCATTTCTCCACCTTCAGTCATACAAATGTCTCTTATAACTGTGCTCCCTATCATCTTGCCATCTATCTCAGCATCAGTCTCCAATTCAGCAAAATCTGAAATTACTCCATAATCCACATTCACAAAAGCAGTAAAATTCATTGTTCCACAAAAATATGAAGTTAGTCATATACTCATATCCCATCCCAATAAAAAATCACAAAAGTAATAATAATAATAATAATAATAATAATAAGAACTACACAAAAATGAACAAGCAGTCGATTAAAGAAAAAAAAAAAACAGCCATAAGCTCCCAACAATGAAAAGCTCAAAACGCCCTCCCAATTTCAATGAATGAAGAAAAAAGAAGAATCTCAAAACTCCTGTCATTGCTAAAAGTCACAGTCTATCCCACCATAAATGGATATCTTCCTATCCTTTAACGTGAAATAACTTTCTATTCCTCTCAATCCTTCAAAAACACAATTTTATTTTTAAACTGATTTCCTCATTCCTTTTTCTCCGTTCCACCCCATCAAGGGCCACTCTATCACTAGGCTATTCAGAAATTATGTCTTTACTTCACTTCTAATATCTATACCCAAAAACTTTTCTGGCAACTACTTCTCTAAACTCACAAAAATGTGCGCTTAAATTCACAAATATTATAAGTTTGTGAGGATTTCCAATTTTCATCAAAAACCCATTTCTCACTAACCAGATTACACACAATGAACAACTTATACACCAAAATTAAACAATCTACCAAATAATATAACAAACTATTGCATTGGTTCACTGTTTAATCAATGTTTATAAACTAATACTTATCAAAATTACAAAAGAAAAAGAAAAAACAGAGAAATAAGAGGGGTTTGGGTATCCATTAAAATAACTTGCTTACTGGGTTTATAATGCTCTGATCTCTGCGTTGGTTGGTTGATTGTGAATTCGTTCTCAAAATGTTTAACAAACTTTTCTGGGCTCAGCTTCTTCACTTCTGATCAAGTGTTACGTGGGGCCAATCTTCCTGCCATTCTTGCGCTTGTCCACTCTCACCTCTCTGAAAATTCGTGGACGTTTTTAGTATTATATATATATTTCTCTTTTAGAAATAATTACAAAATTTGTAAAAAAACTTGATACAATTTGTTTCATTTGTGCTCATTCTTAAGCTTATAAGACTAAATTTTGTTGATATTTTTATTAGACACTTTAATTAAGCTATATATTTTTGGGAAAATGTTAGACAATATTATACTTTATTGGTCTTTGTTATTCATGATAAATTTTAATTCTCATAATATTATACTAATATAAATCATTCCCTCGTCTTCCAAATTTCAATGTATCCCTACACATTGATTCTTCTCAACACTGACCAAAAGAAAATTCACATTGTTTAGAAATAAAATTGATAGTTGTATTTCACCAATAATCTCCACAAGAACAAGCCCCATTTTCAAAGTGGTGGAACCTATTCCGATCCCTCACAACAATTTTTCTCTCAGTGATCTTAGCAATGAGCTTTATCATTGTGTGGCAATCATTGCATACTCTCAAGTTCTTCACAACCCTTAATGGAGTGTATGGTTTTGTTGAGATTAAACCATAGCATATTGCAAGCCTCTCACTGTGTATTGCCAAAGCCCATTCTTTTTCCCTGTCTTCAATATCATGCAATACCACTTCTGTTGATGGAGAATACCCTTTTAATTTTAACATTTGGTTCAACTCCTCTAACTTTTTGTAGATTTTTTCCCTTTGAGGGTGCCTTATGGCTCCTAAAATGAATTCATGAATCTCATTATTCACTTCTATGGAACTGCAGCCGGGTTCCTTTTGGATTCCCGCCTCCTTCATCTTTACCCTCATTTGTGCAGCTTCTTTCCACTTCCCTGTTGAAGCATATGCATTTGATAGAAGAATATAAGTTCCTGAATCTGCATTTCCGCAATCCAGCAGTGTTTTGGCAATCTGCTCGCCCAACTGAAGGTTTCCATGGATTTTACAAGCACTTAGCAAAGCCCCTAACATAATATGATCCGGTGGTATGTTCATGCTCTTAATGAAGTCATAAGCCTCTTCAAGACGACCCACACGACCAAGAAGATCAACGATACATCCATAGTGTTCAATCAGGGGTTCAATCCCATAATCTCCTCTCATAGAATGAAAGATCTCAAATCCCAAATCTACCAAACCTCCATGACTACAAGCATTAAGTACAGCAACAAAAGTAACATTACTTGGTCTAAGCCCTCTCCCAATCATTTCCCTAAACATTTCAATAGCTTCAATGCTCCTCCCATTCATAGAAAGCCCAGCAATTATTGAATTATAAGTTATGACATTTTTCTCTTTCATCACTTGAAAAACCCGTGCTGCTTCGTCAATATCACCACACCTCGAATACATATTGATCAAAGCACCACCTACAAAATGATTGAGCTTAATTCCATACTTTCCCATATACGAATGAACCCATCTTCCAAGCTCTAGCGCTCCCAATTGCGAACATGCAGATAAAACACAAACGACGGTGACTTCATTAGGCCTCACATTCTCCCTTTGCATTTCCCTAAACACATCCAAAGCTCTACTCATCTCCCCATTCCTAACCAACCCGTCAATCATAGCTGTCCAACACACCGTGTCCTTAACCTTAACCCGATTAAAAACATCAACAGCCTTCTCAACTAATCCATGTTCAACATAACAAGTCATCATCACGGTCAACGCAACAACATCATCTCGCTCAGGCATTCCATCAAACAATTTTATCACATCTTTAAATTCACCGCACTTCCCATAAAACTCAATCAATTTCAACCTTACTGATCTATTGGAGCTCAAACCAAGTTTTAAAACCTGGCTATGAACCTGTCTACCCTCGCTAAAAGCCAACCCAAACCTACAAGCCTTTAAGACAGAAGTAACGACATATTTATCGGGTAAAACTATATCGTTAATCATTTTATTGTATAAACGAATAGCATCGATGTAAGAACCTGCAGAAACGAACCCATCGATCAGAGCAGTGTACAGGTAGACATTTGGATTGTGGGTGTGTTGAAAAATCTTGTAGGCGTAGTCAATGGAGTTGAAAATCGAGGAAAGACGAATAAGCTCGAAGAGGATAAATGGGTCTTGTTCGTGGGCGTTTCTTACGATCTTGGCATGTATCGATTGGATTTGGTTAATGTGTCTGCATTGTTTCAACAAAGAAATAGTCTCTTTTCGGTACGAAGAAGAAGCCTTAGATTCTGAATTAAGATTTGGCGGGACCATTGAATGCCCTAAAACGGCAAGTGTGGAACAATACCCCATTGACGCCTAACTTCAATTGTTTTGAGGCCTTGACAATTTTAAATTGATTATCTGTTAAGGCCACTTTTTTTTTTTTTAAATTTTTTCTTCCCTAAAAAGGATAATTAATCCTTGATTATTTGAAAAATCCTTTATTAGTGGATGAGAATGACTGATTTTTCTCAATCTTTACAATCTTGCTTCTGTAAAAACAAGTCAGAGAGATTGAAAAATTGAACCATCTAAATCGATACATCAACATGAAACTTATAAAATTATAGCATGAAATTTGTCAATTAAAATGTAAAACTTGTAAAATATATTTATACAATATTGAATTATAACCCAATCCCTAATATTAACCCTAAACTGTGATTGATTAATAAATTAAACCAAAATGTTTTCAATTATAATATAAGCCAGGGTTTTTAGTGAGCGAAATCAAAACATTTAAATTGGTAAATTTACAATAAAATATATAAATATTAAATTATCAATTCTATGATTGTCTTGATGAATTTTCATATTCTAAAAACGTTACATAATTGTTTTATTGACAATTCTATCAAACATCTCTTTCATATTCTGAAAAATTCTATTAAACATCTCTTTCATATTCTGAAAACGTTGCATAATTACTTCGTTGATTAGTTAAATCAAATCCCTAAATTTCAGCACTGAAAAACTTTAGGAATAGTAACACGAGTCAACGCTATACTGAATGTAGAAACATTACAACTGTATACTACGTACAAAGCAGTGAGAATTTTGCTGGTCCCAAAGCCAAAGTAATACGAGTTCTTCTCTCTGTCTCTCTCTCTAACAAAAAAAAATGTAGCACAAGTAGCATGCACAATCTAACAATGGATTAATCTATGCATCGATGTAAACATTCAACTAAATTTTTTGACACTAATTATCGGTAAAGAGCATATTCAGAGATAAGAAACTCAAGAAAACACTGAATGGAGAAGCACCTGGAACTCAAAACTCAAGAAAACACTGAAAGAAAAAGTGTCTTCAAGGAAAATGCGAAAAAAGGGAGGAAGAAATATCTTACTTGTATAGAACAACTAAACCGCAAAGGGGTTGAAAAGCAAGAGGGAATTAGAAACCTGCATAAGAAATCTATAATAATAACAAACATGCATGAAGAATATCTTTTATCTGCGTGACAAAACCCTTGAAAGCAACAAGACGAAAACACTCCTAGTTCTTCCTCTTTTTCAGTAAAACTTACTATATAAACCAAACACAACTTCCCTGTCCCAACCATATATGGTAGACCCCTTAAAGATCTGATTCCTTGATCTAATCTAACTCGTACTTGCAACAGTAATAAACTAAAAAGAATACAACAAATAAAGTTAAGGTAAAGTTTTCAGTACCATTTTCTCATTTTTATACTGAACGTGCCAATGAATAAAATAGACTTTTCTTTGTAGGACCATGTAGTACAAAATTCAAGTTTCTTGTCTTAGCTGAAAAACGAAAAAGTTTGTAATGGATCAAGTCTACACACTTATAAAGATGCTTAAACAACTAAAGTCCAGTTGTTGTTCACTACTGAATATAAGGTACACAACAAATGTTTAAGAATAAGGTTAAATTATCCAAGTTGTTTGAAAATATTCAACAATGGAATGTACTCATCGACTAGCCTGCTAATGACTACCAATTACTACTAACAATGTCATTAAGTAAATAGCTTCACTTGTGCAATAGTCCAAAATAAGAAAAAAATGGGAAATCCTTACATTAGATAGTCTTTCCTACAACTATAAGGCTCAAGAAGAAATTAAACAAAGAGGGATTTCAATCTAAGCATGCAATGAATCTTTGATGCTCATGATGAATGAATATATCCCTCCTCATAGCTATTATGACACTGCATAATACATGTAATTGACTAACAACACTGACATATATACGAGCTGACACTGCTAACCTGAAACAATACAAATACAAAATGCAACCTAAAGTCTTCTTCAACGCTGTTAGTATATTTCATTTAAAATAAACATGTTGATTCAAAATAAAGACAGAATTGCCTAGAAAATTAGAGAAGGACATACTTAATCCTTTCGCTTTCATTTCAACACCCAATACTTTATGAAAGATAACAAAAAGTCAATTCTATAATGAATTTAGAAATGTGAAAACCATATACTATGTAAAAAGCAGTGACAAATTTGCTAAACCCCAAGCTTAGGTAAATAGCTTTCTTTTGTTCTCTCTCTTTTATTTTTCCTAATTAAAAACATGTAGCACAAGTAGCATGTACAATCACTAATGGATTATCTATATATTCACGTAACATTCACAAATTGTTTGACACATTTATAGTAAAGAGCATTTCAGAGATAAAAAAAAAAAAAAAAAAAAAAAAGCCCTCAACAAAACACTTGATGGAGAAGAACCTGAAACTCAAATCTCAACTCATATACAAGCTAGCTCTGAAGGAAAAGTGTCTCAAAGTAAAAGCAAAAAAGGAAGGAAGTGATATCTTATCTGTATAGAACAACTAAACATCAAAGTGGCTGAAAAGCAAGGGGTAAGCTGCATAAGAAATTCATAATCATAACAAACATGCTTGAGAGCTATTTTACTCTCTTCACAAAACCCTTAAAACAACAAGACAAAAACACTTCTTGCTGTCTCGCTATTTCCTTAAAACTTACAAATATAAACCAAACTTAACTTCCCTTTCCCCACTACTTATTGTATACCCAAAAAAGATCCAACAAATTGATCTAACTAGTACTTACAAGAGAAACAAACTTAAAAATTAACGACAAATAAATAAAGTAAGTTTGCAGTACCATTTTCTTATTTAATACTGAATGTGCCAATCAATAAAATAGACTTCTTTGTAGGACACTTTCTTGTCTTAACTAAAAAGGGAAAAAGTTTTGTAATCGGAACATAAATCTCTGCAGTCCAGTTGTTCACTATTGAATATAAAGCACACCCTACAGCATTTCCCATAAAGAATTGATGCCACAAGATAACAAATGAAATTCTGAAGAAATGACACTGACCTTCACTTTTATAATCACACTTTTGATTATATAAAAGAAGATTCCAGGATTCTAGGCATAAAAGCAGGAAACAACAACTCTCATAACAGAAAACTAAAAAAACTGTAATAGCTGACTCAACAGCCTAAAAATTTTCAATCACTGTACATAATTTCACTAATTATTTAAACACATAGTACAAAATGGGGAACAAAGACAAGAACCCTGGACTATGTTTAGGGACAGGTCTATAATATACAATACATTGCTATCTATACAAAATTAAGATCTTAACTTTTTGGATCCTAATTGATATGGTTGTTTATGTGTCAACCTCACATTGAATATAGGTTAACAGCACACATATCCCATCATCCTAAAACCAATAGTTATCAACCGGAGTCCAAAGTTGAGTTTTAACTTCGTATTTGTAGCAATACTCATAAAAACAAAAATAATAATAATAAAAAAAAGCAGAATTATTTTTTCTTCCATTTGGGAGTCATTTCTCAATTATCCTAAATGTCCAGGTTTACAATTTTCTATAAAATTTATTATCAAACTACACCAGCTACAATACAACTTCTTGATCACAAGTTCTTGAAAACACTAACTTTAAAACAAAAGTAAATGAGAGCATTTTTAATTCAATTGTCTTATCCCTAATGAGTTATTACAACACAAGCTGTAATAGCATTTAAGCCTTCAATAAAGTATTGCTACAAGATATCAACAATATAAAAATGCCGCAAATCATAAAACAGAAGAATATGTTTTTAATCTGAATTAATTACACAACATAAGTTACCAACTATACACCAAGTAATCAATTACTAGAGTCCATAAGCTTATTTCAACTACAATAATAGGCAAGAATCACCTACTTACTTCCATGTGCAAGAACACATAGACAAAGAGAAAATTAAACTGCCTTGTTCACAACCATGTCCCTTGCATGAATGCTCAAGGACGTACTCACTCTCTTTGGCACACCATAATATCTCAATTCTAAGAATAATCTGCTACACAACCTGCCTTGAACCAATCATATCATGACAACAATAGAAAGCATGCTTGTTCAAAGCCATGCCCATTGCTTGAATGTTCACGGGCGTGCTATCTCTTGTTGTCGTACAATGATCTCTCAAGTCTAAAAATAATCCGCTACATAACCTGCCTTGAGCCAATCATATCATGACGACGACAGAGAGCACACTTGTTCACAGCCATGTCCCTTGCATGAATATTCACAGGCGTGCTCTCTCTCGTCGTCACACAATGATGTCTCAAGTCTTAAAAAAATTTGCCACATTACCTGCCTTGGGTATCTGCTATATTACGTGCCTTGAATAAATCATATTATGACGACGACAAAGAGCACACTTGTTCACAACCATTTCCCTTGCATGAATGCTCACAGGCGTGCTCTCTCTCGTTGTCACTCATTGATTCCTCAAGTCTCAAAAAAGATCTGAACAAGAGAGGTAAGTGTTAAGGAGACCTAGCAAACAGGTGTCCTTAGCATGATGATGGCAAACTATCACAGTTTGAAATCTCAAAATGCAATATTTTTTAGTAATCTATTTTTATTTTATATTATTGTCCTAAGCAAGATCATGGGCACACTATCACACACTTAGAAATCTCCAAATGCAATATTTTTCAACAATCCATTTTTCTTACTTTAGAGGCAACAAGAAAAAAAACGCCACTCCAAATTGCAACCATCATGAAATCTCACAACAATCTTAAAATTGTATCAATAAAACATGTTATGATAACTAAAAATGTCTCTAGAGAACGAAAAATTAACATAAGGTCTTCTATGCATAAAATTAGTACCTGACCTTTATTTATTTATTTTTTTCTAAGAAGTAACTATGACAATATCATTGATTGGAAAAATAACGGCAAAGGGTTGAACATGTTGTCCACAAAAGATAGGATCCATCTAAAAGATCACAAAATAAAAAGATCGATCTTAACGATCACAAATAGATTAACTAATGGAAGTAACAAGTAAAATTAATAAATATCATGACCCAACTATCACACTATGTTTCTTATTTAAAGAGAAAAAGTAAAATAAACTTGTGCAACTTGGATCATTCACCCAACTGAACACAAACCATCCTTAAATTATTTATATATTCAAATCAAGTTATAGGATGATCTTCCACGGATTAGATCACATAGAATAGCATTATCACATGTTTATCTCAAGATAGATTTAAACAGACAAATAAACTGCAAGCACCTTAACCCAAAATTTCAAATCTTCAGAGCATAGTGCCAAATTCAAGAACGTTTTAACAAGCTTCAGAACAGTAAATATCAAACAAAATAATAAAAGCAATTTCAAAAAACAAGCTTCATCTTCAATCAAAAAGAGAAACATGTAATAAGGTCCATGAAACCCTATTTCCCGTTAAATCTCAGAAAAGGTTCATGATATAACATGAAACCAAAACATACAACTAACAGACTATAGTTTTTTTCCCCCTTTCTTTGTCTCATATATGTTCCTACAGAAAAAGAAGGAGAGCATAATGAACTCCATATGAGATACTCAACAAAGTTTCATCACAACACCAACACAAAATACAAAGAAAATGGCTGAATCCTTGAAAGGAAACTATAGAGAGAAATAAAATGAGCAACTAAAGCATGAAAACAAAACACAAATACTAAAAAAGTAATAGAATTTTCTTCAGACATAATCATGCACTACAATTCCCAGATCCAAACCCAAATCATATAACAGTAAAACATAATAAAATCACACTAAATACAAACATAACAGAAAGAAAGAAGAAAAGAACCAGCAAGCACAGCACACCTATTTCGAGAGGCAAAAGAGAGAAAATGCACAGAGAATAAAAAAAATAAAAAAAAAGGGTCTTGAGTCTATCCCCTTGAGAATCTCACAATAATAATAATAAAAAAAAAGAAAAAGAAAAAGAAGTTTGAATGTAGAGAGTTCTAGACCTCTAGAGCTTCTTTGTAGCCCATGAAAAAGCTGTTTTGATCATCTGGAGAATCCGAACAGTCAAACAACACCATTTATGGAAGATAAACAGATGACTTTTGCTGTTAATAAAATTAACCCGAGACATTAATTTTAATGTTATATCAAATTATCAATCGCTATGAGATAATTTTCTGTGGGCCCTTGGGGTCGCAGTTTGATCCAGCAATATACATCCTTGATTGGGAGAACCACCTTTGCCCACCCAAGGTTTGGCGAAACGACACTTGTCCCAATTAAGTTTTAAAATAACATTTTCTTATTTTTCGTCTTATTATGTTAGTGTTTTTTTTTTTTCTTTTTTTGTTAATATTTGATTAAAAACACTCTTAAATAATTTATTTTTAATTAATTTATTATAAATTAAAATTTAGTTAAATTAAAATTTTTATTCGATTATTTATTAATTTAAATGTAAAGATATTTTTTTCTTTATTTATTTAATTAATTAGGAATATTGATTTTTTATGTTAATTAATAAAAATAAAAAACATAATATTATAAAAAACATGATAAATTTAGTAGATTATTGAATAATAGTGATGAGATATTGATAACATTATAAATAAATAAATATTAAGGTCATTTAACTTTAAATAATTTCATAACATTATTCATAATTTTTTAAGTGGAGTTAACTATTTTTTCTTTTTTAATTTTTTAATATTTGACTTTTTAGCTAATTAAAAAATAATAAAAATTTATAAAATAAAATATTTAAGAGTATTTTCATCTTTTTAATAAAATATTAATAAACAAAACTTAGAAGGGTGGAAAAGTGTTATTTTGAAACTTAAAGAGTAAACAAGGGTCGTTTTGCCAAACCTGTCGTTCTCCCTCCTTGATTCAGACCTTAACTTGCAGGGGTGAATTTGATAATTTACTCTACATATTAGAAAAAAAGAGATAATCCCCTTTAATTCAAAAAAAGAATAAAAATTCGATTAACTATTTTCTAATACTTGTAAGGTCGACTTTGAATATTGCATCAAAATCTCTCTAATCAATAAGTAAGTACAGCATAATTATTTAGATTGAAGTTGTTTTGCGTTTTGCTGCAGGTACCATCTTCATGATTTCTTACCTCTATTTTCGAGAAAATAAATATGGGTATGGCCAACCCAACTCCTTTTTTAAAGTCTTCTCCCTCCAATTCCATTAACATGGAGTACCACCCCATGTACGTTGAAATCTGACGGTTGTTTTCTTAGTTTTATGAAATCGGACAAAGTACAAGACAGGATAAAACTCAAATTAAGTAAGTTGTACCTATGAAATCATCATGAAATCTCACAACAATCTTAAAATTGTATCAATAAAACATGTTATGATAACTAAAAATGCCTCTAGAGAACAAAAAATTAACATAAGGTCTTCTATGCATAAAATTAGTACCTGACCTTTATTTATTTATTTTTTTCTAAGAAGTAACTATGACGATATCATTGATTGGAAAAATAACGGCAAAGGGTTGAACATGTTGTCCACAAAAGATAAGATCCATCTAAAAGATCACAAAATAAAAAGATCGATCTTAACGATCACAAATAGATTAACTAATGGAAGTAACAAGTAAAATTAATAAATATCATGACCCAACTATTACACTATGTTTCTTATTTAAAAAGAAAAAGTAAAATAAAAAACTAATATTTTTTAAAGAAACTTGTGCAACTTGGATCATTCACCCAACTGAACACAAACCATCCTTAAATTATTTATATATTCAAATCAAGTTATAGGATGATCTTCCACGGATTAGATCACATAGAATAGCATTATCACATGTTTATCTCAAGATAGATTTAAACAGACAAATAAACTGCAAGCACCTTAATCCAAAATTTCAAATCTTCAGAGCATAGTACCAAATTCAAGAACATTTTAACAAGCTTCAGAACAGTAAATATCAAACAAAATAATAAAAGCAATTTCAAAAAACAAGCTTCATCTTCAATCAAAAAGAGAAACATGTAATAAGGTCCATGAAACCCTATTTCCCGTTAAATCTCAGAAAAGGTTCATGATATAACATGAAACCAAAACATACAACTAACAGACTATAGTCTTTTTTTCCCCCTTTTCTTTGTCTCATATATGTTCCTACAGAAAAAGAAGGAGAGCATACTGAACTCCATATGAGATACTCAACAAAGTTTCATCACAACACCAACACAAAATACAAAGAAAATGGCTGAATCCTTGAAAGGAAACTATAGAGAGAAATAAAATGAGCAACTAAAGCATGAAAACAAAACACAAATACTAAAAAAGTAATAGAATTTTCTTCAGACATAATCATGCACTACAATTCCCAGATCCAAACCCAAATCATATAACAGTAAAACATAATAAAATCACACTAAATACAAACACAACAGAAAGAAAGAAGAAAAGAACCAGCAAGCACAGCACACCTATTTCGAAGGTAAAAGAGAGAAGCTGCAGAGAAAAAAAAAAGAAAAAGAAAAAGGGTCTTGAGTCTATCCCCTAGATCTCACAAATAATAATAATAAAAAAAAGAAAAGAAGTTTGAATGTAAGATTCTAACCTCTAGAGCTCTTTGTAGCCATGAAAAAGCTGTTTTGATCATCTGAGAATCCGAACGGTCAAGCAACACCATTTATGGAAGATAACAGATGACTTTTGCTGTTAATAATTAACCCGAGCCATTAATTTAATGTTATATCAAATTACGCTATGAGATAATTTCTGTGGGCCCTTGGGTCGCATTTTGATCCAGCAATATACATCCTTGATGGAGAACACATTTTGCCACCCAAGGTTTGGCGAAACAACACTTGTCCCATTAAGTTTAAAATACATTTTTACTTTTTTGTCGGTTTGGGTTTTTTTCAATATTTGATTAAAAAACTCTTAAATATTTATTTATTAATTATTAAAATTTAGTTAAATTAATTTTTTTATTTGATTATTTATTTATTAATTAAATATTTTTTTTTCTTATTATTTAATTAATAGAATATTATTTTTATGTTAATTATAAAAATAAAACATAATATTATAAAAACATGATATTTAGTGAGATAGTGATGATATTATAAATAAATAATATTAAGGTCATTTAACTTTAAATAATTTATAACATTATCATATTTTTAGGTGAGTTAACTATTTTTTTTTATTTTATATTTAATTTTTTGTTTAATTAAAAATAATAAAAATTTATAAAATAAAATATTTAAAGATATTTCATTTTTTTTAATAAATATTTAAAGATATTTCATATTTTAATAAATTAATAAAAAATAACAAACTTAACAAGGTGAAAAGTGTATTTTAAAACTTAAAGAGTAAAATGTTTTCCAAACCTGTACGTTCTCCCTCCTTGATTCAACCTTAATTGACTTGAGGTGAATTTGAATTTACTCTACATATTAGAAAAAAGAGATATTCCCTTTAATTCAAAAAAAATAAAATTCGATTAACTATTTTCTAATACTTGTAAGGTCGACTTTGAATTTGCATCAAAATCTCTCTAATCAATAAGTAAGTACAGCATAATTATTTAGATTGAAGTTGTTTTGCTTTTTGCTGCAGGTACCATCTTCATGATTTCTTACCTCTATTTTCGAGAAAATAAATATGGGTATGGCCAACCCAACTCCTTTTAAGTCTTCTCCCTCAATTCATTACTGGAGTACCACCCCATGTACTTGAAATCTGACGGTTGTTTTCTTAGTTTTATGAATCGGACAAAGTACAAGACAGGATAAAACTCAAATTAATAAGTTGTACCTAGAAATCGTGTTATTCTATCCCTTTCTTCAATTAATGTGGTTTTACCGCGAGCGTGTACACGCGGTAAACATAAAAAAAATTTGCGGTCGTTTCAAGTTTGGCGTCGAATCACATCAGTTGAAATACTAAACGGACCACAATGAGACGTTATTATTTATTATTAATAATGAATAGATGACACCACGTGGCCATTAGTGGGGTGGGCCTTATTAGAGTTGAGAAAGTGATCCGTCTGGCCCTAGCCTGGCCTGCCCGTGCCATTTTACTTTGTTTTGACGGGACCAGGCCTAACCCGTCCGTCACAAGGCAGCCGGTTAGGCCTCTTTTTCTTCAAAATGTGGCCCCGCCCCGCCAGCCCTACCCGCCGGTTAGGTGGCGGGCTGGGCGGTTAGCCCGATCTTTTTTTTTTTTTTTGTTTTTTATTTAACTTTTCAAATAAATAATTATAATATATTTGTTTTTAATTAACTTTTCAAATATCAATAATTCAATTCAATTTTTTTGTTTGTTAACATTTCAAATATTATTTCATTTGATAATAAAATTAATATAAGAAAAATATTCATTTTCAAAAAATAAAATAAGAAATTAACACATTATTCCTCTCGTTAAAAACCTCACCAAGAAAAACCCAATGGGAGAAAAACTTGGTAAAGAAAAAGAGTGCAATAATTGACAATTAATTTAAAATTACATTTTACAAAACAACTAATTTGGGGGTGGTTCACTAGGACCTCCCTCATCTGTATCATCTATATTACAAAATTGAAACATTCTACTAAAGTATGTCGATAACCTCGTATTGATCTTGATGCGCGATCGTTCCCAATCTCGAAGACATGTAGGACTTCAATCATTTTTGGAGCAAGTTTAGTCCTCCTTCATTTAAAATCCTTCCACTTGCACTAAGTTGTTCGATGAGACGTTTGAGACAGGAGCGAAAACATCCAAGGAGTCTTGATATACCGGAAAAATACATTTTCGGCTCTCCAATCTCTAAGTATCAAAGTGACCTGTTGAAACATTTCGGGGTTGCAATATTGTTGAAGTTCATTACTCTGCGACTCCATGAGGACAGCATATTTGTTGT